AATTATTTATTAAACAAATGTGTAAAAATGCACTTATCGATCAAAGACGTAGAATGATAAAATGAATAAATGATTCATATATTTTGACAATTTACCTTTCAAAAAAAATAACAATTTATATTAAAAAAATAATCAAAATTATTTATAATGAATATAAGATTAATAATGATGAAGTAGAAGCAAATATAAATAAAAATGAAAACAAAAAAATCAATAAATAACGTTTCTAAAAAAAACTCGTTTTTGTCGTTTTTTGGACAGCGCTCACAGAATCTTAATATAAATGATTCTTTTTATTAACATTTTAACACAGTCTCGTAACAATCGTTTCAATCACAAAAACTTTACTCGTGTATGTTATGAACAACTACTAGATGTAACGAGTTTCAGTCATTAATTCAAGTAAAAACAATTTATATAATATTGCCATTATTATTTCTTCATATCTGATCTTTAACCGATGACGTAATTCAAAGAAGCAAGCAAGTGTGAGAAAGCCAAAGCCAAGTAATTCCTCAATTAAACAAATCAGATACAGCAAATTGCTGGCTCAGGCCAAAAAACAGGTAAATTCCTATCACGATTCCTGGGATAAGAGTTGGGAGACTGAATGACGGGCAAATAGAAATGAAATACAATATTATAAATCATACATTTCATACAAATTGAGATTCAGCTATTTAAATAAAATGAACATAATTGTTATTTGGAAATAAAATTTTCGCTATTGCTAAAATTAATGAATGTCATTTCCTATTGATGTCTTCTTTCAAACATACTTAAAAATATTTAATATTACTATTGACGCCAACACAAAATTTTTGAGAAGGCAGGTCCAGCGGTTTCAGATTCATTGGAAAAAGTAAAAAATGCCATTGGCGGCCAAAAATTATTTGTAGACATATGCACATCAAATTTTCAGATATTTATAAACATAGTACATATGATCGGTGTAGATTCTGATTAAACTTACCATAGGCCTATAATATTTAAAGATGTTATCTCAGAATGTCTACGAAATCTATAGTCGTACAAAGTTTCATCAGACTTGCATAAAAACACAACCCAAAAGATCTTTACCAATTAAAAAAACAGTCGATATCAAGTCACATCGAAAAGTTTTAAAATGTCTAAAATTGGTCCAGCCGTTTTATATCACAAAGACGAAAGAGAGCAAATTGCACCAAATAGGAGAAATGCATAATTAAGAAAGATAATCATAGCATTCTAGATCCTCCCCCCTTGAAGTAATACCTAATGGCAATTCCCGTTGTGACAAGGGGCAAGAAAACCTACACATACTTGTTCCAAATTTAGTCTCGTTCGATTCAGAATGACTTGAAACGTTGAGAAAACGTAAACTTTGTGCTGTCTTACAATCAGTCTTTGTAGACTATCATACAAAATATATCGTCGTACAACGTTTCATCGAATTTCACAAAAAAACAACGCAACAGATCTTTACAAATTAAAAAAAAACAGTCGATATCGAGTCTCATAGAATAGTTTTAAAATTTCTAAAATCGGTCCAGCCGTTTTTTAAAAAAACGTCGACGAAAACTCAAAAATCGGCTCAACATATACATACAAAGGAGAGCGGATGGCACAAATTAGGAGAGAGAAGTATTCTAGATCCTCCCCCATACCTAACAACGATTCCTGTGGAGACAAGTAGGCAAGAAAAAAACTAGACATATACATACACACATACTTATTCCAGATTTGATCTCATTCGATTCATAATGGAACGTCCATTAATCACGTGACCGATTTTTAAGGATTTTTGGATTTTTTAGTCTCAATTGATTTAGAATAACATCACAAATCGCAAAGACATAAAATTAGCAAATCGGATTTTTCTCAAAAGCAAACTTCTCCGGGAAGTTTGAAGTGTGATCGGTTTAAAATTCTGCTAGAAAACATATCTGCTATAAATTTTAAATTATCATAATTAAATGTGATAAAACTAACTATGAGCAGTATACTTATACTATTACAATAAATGAATCTTCTTACCTGAGCATCCGGCAAGGATAAAATCAACGCCCTCCTAATCTCTGCCAACTTGACGCTATCCTGCTCCTCGTCACTATTGGTAGAATGAAATTTAAGATCTGAATCTGTTGTATCAGAAGACGACGTTTCTTGATATTTAATATTCTCTTTATTATCATCAGTATTTTCCGAAAGATCCTTAAACGACGAGTCGCTCGTCGTATCAGCTGGTGGGAACCAAGAAAAATTCATCGCCCGTAAGATTTTCCAAATCCTTAATCTGGATTTTTTCATCCTTGGAACTTGATGAATTCAAGTCTTTATCGCAATCATCGAAAACAGAGTCATCGTCTTCGTTATTACGTTCGAAACTGTCGCCTAAGAATTTATCCCAGGATTCTAAATTGATTTGCCCGGTTTTTAGGAAGTCGTAATTTGGTTTTCTGGGTGATTTTTTAGGACTTTCTGATAAACTGGTCTTTTTGTGTTTCTTAGAAGGCGTGCTTGTTTTGAAGGAATCGATGTCTATCATTTTTGGCTCAATTTCAGGACTAGGAGTTTCATCATTGTACCCAAGGCTGAATGTTCTGTTTAAAATTGTAGGGGTGTTTCTGGTATCACTATTTGTTCTGAATACTTGTTCATCAAACCCCGAATTTTCCTCCAGTATTTGTTCTACGGAATCTTTTTTAGATAAAAAAGATTCATCACTTTTTTCTGTAGTTTTTGATGTTGCGATTGGAGAAGTTTCATGTTGCATATTTGATTCATCAGAAGATTCTGTAGATTTTAATTTATCATCAGAAACATCAGGAACAGATGAACTGACATCACTTTGGACAGGCAGTTTTGCATGCTCCAAAGAAATTGTTCCTAAGTGTTCATCTTTACAACTTTCATTCTGTTTTGGTGATGTCAAATTTTGCAGTTTGTCTTCAGCAGAATCATATGGTTCTTTTGTGTTTTCAGTTACTTTACAGGCGATTTCTTGATCCATGCCACTAGTCACTGATTCTTTATTTGAATCATAAATACCGAAATAATCAGGATCAGAAGTACATCTGGTATCATTTTGACCGGCAGTTTTGCATGCTCCAAAGAAATTGTTTCTAAGTGTTCATCTTTGCAACTTTCATTCTGTTTTGGTGATGTAAAATTTTGCAAGTTGTCTTCAGCAGAATCATATGGTTCTTTAGTGTTTTCATTTACAATTTACAGACAATTTCTTGATCCGTGCTACTGGATACTGCTTTTTTATTTGAATCAGAAACACCAAAATAATCAGGATCAGAAGTACATGTGGTAACATTCTGAACCGGATCCAGAGAAATTTCTGAATTTTCACCTTTACAACTTTCATTCTGTTTTGGTGATGTCAAATTGCGCAATTTGTATTCAGCAGAATCATATGGTTCTTTTGTATTTTCAGTTACTTCACAAACAATATTTTGATCCGTGCCAGTGGACAATTTATTTGGATCAGAAATACCAGCACAATTATTAATTTCTGGTGTTAAGTCTGAAGAAATATTTATATCACTAACCACATAATTGTAATTTTCTACATTTTTGTGAGTTTCTTCTTTATGTTCAACAATTTCTTCACCAACATGAATTTTTGTTGAATCATCTGCCAAATATATATTTGAAGTTGCCTCCTCAGGATTTAGGCTTTCTGATGATATGTTTGAAGTATTCTTTACAAACTTGTGTTTTTCCTGGTTATCTTGGACGTTTTTTGCTTCAATATCACAAATAATATCTTTGCTAACATCAGTGTCCACAATTTTTATGATGTTTTGAGGTTGTCCAGGTACAGTTGATAAAATATTACAATGTTCATTTTCTTTGTTCAAAACTTGTACACTTACCATTTCATCAAACTCATTATCACAATTTACTTTCTCATGAGAAGATACAGTTTGTTCACTCAGTAAATTACCAGTTTCCTTATTAGGAGTTTTTGGAAGATCATTACTTTTTAGTACGGCAATATTATCACTTTCAGGTTTTTGTTTCGTTACCACATTTTCATTATCACAGTTTTTATCATCATTAGACTGATCCAGTTTTTCCAAACTTTTAAAATGATCATTGTTAAACTCCAGTTGCACCTCGGCCAGCGACGAACAACTTCCAGAATCACAGTCACTTTCCCCGCTCAAAACACTTTCTAGACACCTCAACGCCTCATTGACATCGTCTCCTGCACCTGCATTTCCGAAAACCTATCATTCGGAGATTGATTACAGATTGGACAACACCGGCGTTTGAAGAATCTCCAAATGATTTCGTTGTTTGATCATCATTACTGATCTGATTTGTTGCACCTGAAGTACTAGGAACACTTGATAGGTCAACAAAGTTCTGATTAAAATTGATAAAAGCACTACCAGCATTCTGGTAGTTTTCTGAAACCACGTTAAGATTCTGGTTAAGAAAAAGTTCATTCTGATTCTGAATATAACCTTCAGCATTGTTGTTGGCTATATTCTGAATATCCAATTCAGATATCGGCCCATTATTATTATCATTCTCCATATGATCATTGGTTACTATATTTATTATAGCATTGCTAATTATTTGCATATTGCTTCTAATCGAAGCAATATTATCTACTACAGGCCTAGGAGCTTCAATGTTGACCGCATGTTCTGGTGATACAATCGGTTCGTCTATCATAAGATGGTTGTTTTCATTGGAAATTTGGCTAACTAAACCTGAGTTTGAAGATTCAATATTGTTATGAGGTAATACGGGGCTGTCTGGATGTTTCAGTGGTGTTACTTCAGATTGGTTTTCACCGGAACCGTTTTGAGATGTCTGGTTTTGGTTCAGTGGACGGAAAATTGGAAACGGGGATTCAGCATTGACGGTGTGAGTGGCAGAACCTGGCTCATTATTGAACTCCTGGGGAAATAAATAATAAAAAATACAATAATGATATATATATATATATATATATATATATATATATATATTGAGTTTAAAAGTCGGACGTTACATCAAAAATAATATGGGAATTTTTAATTTTAATAAGTTGTCAAAACTATGTATTGACTATTCAAAGTCTAAGATAGAAATGTCACGTTTTTTCTTAAAGCAGTCTTAACATACGTTCAAATTTTACGAGAAATTTAAAAGGCGATGGGATCTTGTCATTTTTTAAGGAATTTTGACACGCTATTTAAGAACCACGTGTTTGTTTCGTTCACGGCCGTGTTGTCGAATCGTTTGTTTATGACCCTGTCGTTATGCAATTGCAAAAACGACCCCTCAGCGAATCTTTTAATTAAGTACTCTTCAAAATGTAAATTTTTGAATTGAAAAAATCTATATTATGATTTAAATTATTTATATGCTCGGTTAACATGGTTTTGAATCGTTTGGTATTTTTTGAGTTATTTTTATGTTGAAAATAGCGTTTACTCAGATTTTGGCTAGTTTCTACAATATAAAAAAGTTCACAATTAGAGCAATTAATCTGGTAAACTAAGTTCCTAAGGAGGCCAGAATTAAACTTAGATTTAATTTGTGTAAAAATGGAACTAAGAGTTGTATCGCAATTTCGACTTTTTTAGCTATTATATGTATTTATAATTTTAATTTTCTAAACTAAAATCTTCCCTTTTTCCTCAAAAAATTATTAATTAAATTTTTCACTTTTTTCATTCCATTTTTTGAAAGTAAATTTTTACTACTTATCCTCTTGTTAAAAATCAAATTGTACATTTAGTAAAAATTTTATTAGACTATTTCTTTGATTCTGAAGAAAAGACATTCAAAAATAAATAAAAATTTAATCATTTTGCCAAAGAAAAAACTAGAATGCTCCAATCCAAAAGTATAAATAATAAATATTCAGAAAACTTTATATATATAAATAAAAATGAATTCGATTGGATCTTTTAAATACTTAATAATTTAACTATATTCATTCAATAATTCATTTATTACTATAATAAGGTTAAGAATAAATGCACTAGAATCACCAAATTAAACTTAGATTATTTTATAACTAAAATAATTAATTGCTCAAACATTCTGATGGGAAATATATTATGAATCATTAACTACCTTAAATTTAAAGGTTTAAATTAATATAATAATTCTATAAGTTTTAAATTAATATTTAATATTTTCTCATATAAACTTCATGCATAAAAAATCTGAGTGCGATTAAATTAATTTCAAATTTTTTTAACAAAAAAAATCAACTTCAGGTAATAAGTTTATAATCACATTTCACATTTAAATATTACCATTTTTTATATCATATTTATACGACTGACAATTCTAATTACCTGTTTCATATTTCCTTGATTCAGCTTTGGTAGCAAAAATAAATAAAAAAACGTATGAAAAATAAATTGCATAAAAAGTTTCTCTAGTAAATAGAAAATCTATGTAGAAAAATATATCTCATAAATTGGTTGATTATAAATTGGTTGTATTAAAATCCTATAAATTGGTTTATTAAAAATATATTTCGTATTAAATATTGATTGTCAAACAAAAGTTTCATATGCATGATGACATAATTTTGTTTATTTATATAAATAGTTAATTTTTTTTTATTAAATACCTTGAAACTTTCTTCCTTTTGCAACACAAACAGCCACCAACAGTCACTAAGGCAGCTCCTAATAAAAATACTGATCCGATAACCCATTTTGATGTAGTGGATTCTGAAAAAAAAAAACGAAATGCTCAGATGAATTCAAAATATAATTAATTGTATTTGGACAAATTATGAAAATGTATATCTTTTAAAACGTTTTATATTAATCCATAAACTTTGATAATTATGGCATACAAGAAAAAGTATCAAATAACTTTATTACTCACTCATAAGATAAAAGTAAAACTACAGCTTGTGCCAAATCTAAATTGCACAATCAGTTTCAATGTTATGATTAAGAAATATATAGGTTCTAGCATCAAATATTAATTTAGAGTTAAAACAAACTAATATAGTTTAACTAGAAAAATATGTTACAATTAGCTAATAAATATAACTGCTACATAATAGAATATTGGCGATTATTTATCTATAATTTTTAGATATAATTATAATTATCTTATTAACTTTACAAGTCATCAGTATAATGATATTATTATGATAAGGCTCATTTCAATATTATACAAATTTTAAAATAATTTAATTTATTATCGAATGCATTTACTATGCATTTTTCATTTTAATAAATTCTAGTTAATTTTAATTACTTTTTAAAAAATATGTAGTTAATAATTTATCACAATAATTGCATTATATTAATTATTTATATATTAATAAATATACTTAAAATTTAATTAGTCTAAATTTGAATATTTGCAAAATTTATTAATAACTAATATAAAGTATTACTTTATTACCTGTTGGTAATGAAATCGGAGAGCTGAACTTATACCTATGATACCTATAGTTATAAAGATTATCCGAAGTAAATTCATGTTTTCAAAAATGTAACACAGCTTCTGAAACAAAATATATATTTTTTAGAATATATTATTAGAATATTACATTAAGTAATCACATGACAATGATAATATAAAGTAATAGACACATTTAAAATAGTGGAAATAATTCTGATAAAATTAAAATATAACATTGGTTTTAATTGGAGTACTCCAATTTCTAAAGCATTGTTAAGAAAAAAATCAAAATAGAATTTTATTAACGTTTTGTTATGCACTGATTAATTAGTATGAATAAATTGCTAAAATTTGCGAATGAAAGAAATTATTTTTTTAATGATAAACATGTCATATATATATATATTATATATATATATATATATATATATATAAATTCATATATATAAAAATAATCACGTTTAGAAATTTATGACCATATTTTCCTCACATTAATATTGAACACTTATATAAAACTAAACATACAAATTACATTATTACAAAAAACAAAATAAATGACTCATTTCACATATTGTTCAAATGTTTATAGTTAAACCGAGAAAAGTAATTATATTTACTCTTGATTGTAATAATTGGATGTTTATAAAAAATAACTGTTCAGAAAATACGACTCATTAGATTCAAAATATAAATTATATATATTTGTTAATATAGAAAAAAAGGTTAATAAAATATTATACGTTTCGACCCTTGATGTGTGTCATCATACAAATGAGAAAACGCGAAATTTTGTTTCGCCTTACTGTTAACATAATTTTTCTGCAGGCACTTTATATCTTCTTTTTCAGGTTTTTTTAAATTTCATTATTTACTAGTTATATTTGTTCTTACAAATTTGAATTTTTGTACTTTTTGTTATTTTCTTGGTTTGACTGTGGAATGATGACACACGTCAAGTATTGAAACATATAATAAATAATTTTTTCTGTATTAGCATTTTTTTATTTAAAATTGGGCTGCAAATAAATAAATAAATGAATATATTCTCACATGTATGTTTAATATTCAGAATTATATATGTTTAAACATTTATATTGTATCGAAGGAAATATAGCTACACTTGAGAAATTCCTAATAGATAATATTACTTGCTAATCGCTTTGATGTACAATTTCAAAGTTTAAAACCCAGACAGAAATGCAATTTTGATCCGAATGCAAAGAATATAATTTGATCATTATCATAGGTATTATTTTAATTGAGAAATAACATTACATGTAATGTACACTTGTAAATTTTCTAAATTAAGGACACATATAAAGAGACTGAAAGAAAATAAAAAATTTGTATATAAATCTAAAAATAGCAGAATCTTGTATTATACATAATAAAGGCAAAATAAAGATTCTAAAATCCATGTGACTAGTGCATCACTGCTATAATTGAATAGTACGTTGGACATATCAATAAAGTTTTGTTGAATTCTATCGTCTGAAAGATTACACGTGATGAGAAATAGATTAAGTTTAGTAGTGACGAGCAACATTTGTATATTTTGTATACTCGACATTATATTTTCTTCTTAAACCTTTCGAAGAATTTCTCCATTTTGTTTAAAAGCATTTTTAAAAGACTAACATTAATAAAATATGACGTCCTACTGACATCTAGCCATAAATGTACAAAATAAAAAAAAACACTAGTTCTATCGTCTTTTGTTTGTTCGGTTCAGTGAAAGTCAATATAACTCAAGCTAATAATTTTGTATTTCTGATGAAATTAAATTCTTATACACATAAATAATATATAGAGCAACTATCTAAGAAAATATAAAACACGAAAGTCCACTTTTGGCTTTCAAGCCGTTTGCAAACTTTTAAGAATTCTGCAAACTAGTCTTCTGCAAACATCAATGTGTAAAATTTTATGTAAACGTGTAAACTATGTGTACAAACAGAGTATACAATTTTTAATTTGATATCTACAAAAAATATAAAAAATGATTACAGCCCTGTTTCAATAATCTTGATGTTTATTTATAATTTATGTACTATACCCTGTGCACTCGTAGTGGAACTTCTTAGATTCTGATTAGATTCAAATTTTATATCCACTTTACATACCTTTGTTACTACACTTTTTACAACAAAGCACAAATATTGCAACAATTTGTTGTTATATAATTATATAACATAAACTTTTAATCACTTTTGCCAAAGAATGAAAATTGAATGTCATTCAATACATTTTTCTCATTGAGACTACTTTTTTGTTTAAACTCTTCGTCTATAATAATGAAAGAAAAATGGTTTGTGAACATTAAATTTTAAAACATACATTGTTCCTTGTGCTACTGTAAATTGTAAGCAATCAATTGTAAAATCATAGATAAGTATGAGTAATACAACACACATATGTAAATAAGATAATGATGTCATTAAAGAAATGGATGAAAATAGAATTTATCACAAATTTAACCAAAACAGTATGAAATGTCACATGGAAAAAAGAGTTTTTTGCTCAGGACCACAAACTTACTATATTACCTTTACCATTTTATTTAACATGTGTTAGACATTATACAAATAAGAATCACCGTCACGATAATAATTTATGTGCGAAACTTTAAAAACATAATATTCATCTCGAGTCTTAAATTATGACACCATAATTGCATTCACTTTCTTTTTCTTAATTAATAATCATAAATTATATAAAATATACTTACAACGACACGCAAACTAGTGCAATATTACATGATGCCTGCTATAATATTTCTATTCTAAAACGTTGAATTGTTTTATTTTCCGTGTTAGGAGTCCGAATTTGTTTGAATTTGAGATAAAATGCACTTTAGATTTAAAATAAAAATGACAAATCGTATATGTTGCACCATTTGTCAAATTCGTTCTTTTTTCGATGTAGCTGTAGTGGTGTATGAGGCAATCGGTGTTGCCCGATGAGGGGATTGAGAATCGCGAATTAATTTCCCGAAGGAGATGTTTATGTTTTTGACAGGTGAGGATATTTACTTTTAATTTTATATTTCGTCGACGTTTCGAGTCATTCTGAATCGTTTGACAATGAGATCGGACAAATTATGTGCACGTATATATGTATAAACTGTATATGTTTTTGTTCGACATTGAAACACAGGGACCAATTCTGCGGTAACATAACGTTGTCATGGCAACGCTATCTTATTTTTAACTTTCTGTAGATTAAGCTATAGTAATCGCAAAAAAATGATTTTTTTATATATCTTCACGTTTCAAAACGTTCTGAACATTTTGGCATACCTTAGGAAAAATGGATGTATGTGTGTGTATGTGTATGTGTACGTGTGTGTATATGTGCGGATACAAATTTTCGTCGACGATTTCGGGAACACGGTTCAACCGATTTGAATAATTCAAAAACATTCGATTCGCATACATAAAGAGACGTGCTGATAAGTTTTTGACAAAGGCAGGTCTAGCCGTTCCGAAGATACGGGGCAAAAACTGCCTAAACCGGTAACTCAGATTTTAAGACAACGGAGCGTCCGATTTGAATAATTCAAAAAACATTTTATCTGTATTGACTAAGCGAAGAACTGATTAAATTTTTGGGAAAGGAGGTTTAGCGGTTTTGGATATCCGGAAGAAAAAGTACAAAAAAATCCATTTGGCGCTCGAAAATCAGATATTTTGTAATTTGAATCGAACGATATGAATGGGTACCAAACAACTTCAAAAATTTTAAAATTAAAAAAAGTCTTCAAAAAATACCAGTATTTCAGAAAAGACATTTTTTTTAACTTCCCCTAGGGCAAGTTATAGTAATCGCAAAAAAAATCGAAAATGAAAATTGTTATATATCTATACGTTTCAATACCTTCTGAACATTTTGGCATACCTTAGAAAAAATGGATGTATGTGTATGTGTATGTGTATGTGTATGTGTGTTTGTGCGTGTGTGCGTGTGTGCGTGTGTACGTGTGTGTGCGGATACAAATTTTCGTCGACAATTTCGGGAACACGGACCAACCGATTTGAATAATTCAAAAAACATTCGATTCGTATTGATAATGAGACTTGCCGATAGTTTTTGGCGAAGGCAGGTCTAGCCGTTCCAAAGATACGGGGCAAAAAGTGCCGAAAACGGTAACTCAGTTTTTAAGAGAACGGAGTGTTCGATTTGAATAATTCAAAAAACATTTACTTGTATTGACAAGATGAAGAATTGATCAAATTTTCATGAAGGCAGGTCTAGCGGTTTCGGAGATCTAACAAAAAAAAATAAAAAAATTGCCATTTAGCGGTCAAAAATTATCATTAGACATATGCACATCAAATTTGGTCTACATAATCGACAGTACCTAACACATCTGTAAAAAAGGGTTATAATTAAATATACTTGTACCATCTTATACACAAATTATTTTTACCATTAATACCCAGTAAACCACAAAACGTAACAAAGCCATGAACGTTACGTAACGCTGGCACGTCCGCACGAATCAGGTACGTAACCTGGGAGGCACACAGAAGCATCTATTTCGCGGGCAAGAACGTAACGGCTGTTTCGTTGCACACTAATACACCGCGGTTACATTTTTGCTACGTATCTAAATTGAATAAAAAAGCGTGTAGGTGTCTTTTATGTTACATACTTATTTAATTAAATTTCCTGCAAATATAGAATACTAATAATAATTTCGGATATTTAGTAATTTTATTAAATATTATCATTTACAATATACATAATTTACATATTACATAGTTAACATTAGAAAACTAAAATTTGATAGTCCATAAAGTGTTAGCCTATAAAAATAATTAATTATTTATTCATAATATGTATTATGTTTAACTCTCTTGGCAACTTCAGTTAAATCAGACTTGGCAAAGTTAAGTCTTGCATTAAATATGTTCAACTCACTTGCATCTGTTAATGTATCTAAAATAGAACCAAACATCTTAGAAACATTGTACACAAATTTTGAATTGAAAACATTGTGAACAAATTAGTCATTTGTGAACATTACCTCTAAACATACTTATTATTTGAAGTTAATGACCATTAATGACTATGTAGTTCCTACGATCATATGACAGAGATAATTATTCCATGAACACACACTCAATTTTCTTGCATTGATTTTATCCTATTAATTTTCAAGATCTGAATTACCTAAAAGTAAAACACTACAAATTAGTACTAAATCATATTAGTTAAAATTCTCTTCATGTAGAACCTTAATATACCAATTCTGTAATGCAAGTTCATCAGGCTCGAAATACTCAACAATTCATGTTCTCTTCAACACTTAATCCATATAATGTGTGATATCCGGTGCATTCTTTGTTTTCCTTCTTGAATGTTTTTAAGTCTTGCTTGTTTCTTTGGTGGCAATTTATCTTCTTGATTAGAGCAAATTTCCCTAGTTTGAATTCCATTTTGGCATAACCCATAGGGGTTATGAGCACTCTTTCTCTACAATTTGAAAAGCAATTTATATCAGTTTTTGCTTAACTGAATAGTTCTGATACTAATGAAATTATAAAGAATATGTATGATACCATATATATTACACTTATCTACCTATAATATTCATATCATATCACTGAATTGAGGTTATGTGATTTTTGACTGGTCTGTCAGAAATTCAATAATTATGTGATAAATCAATTATCACAATACATAAACAGAATTTGCATTGCACATGACCTATATACTGAAAATAACTAATTAGTCATTAATATAATAATTTGTAAATTAAAAAAAAAAACAGTGCAATTATACTCACCTTTGCTGATTCGTATTAAATATGTGAATTTCCTAAAAGTAAAACATTACAAATTAGTACTAAATCATATTAGTTAAATTCTCTTTGTGTAAAACATTAATATACCTATTCTGTAATACAATATCATCACTTAAGAAATACTCCACAATTCATTTTCTTTTTAACACTTAATCTTAATATGTGTTCCTATTTATCGATATGTGTTCTTATTTTTCTTCTCGCATGTTTTCAAGCCTTGCTTGTTTTTTTTTGGTGACAAAGGATTAATAATTTCTAATATATTATCTAACTTTGTATTTATCTTCTCTATTGGAGAAAATTTCCCTAGTTTGAAATCCATTTTCGTAGGGGTTATCAGCACTGTAATTTTCTCTACAATTGAAAACCAACTTATATCAGTTTGTGCTTAGCTAAATAGTTCTGATACTAATAAAACTATAAAAAATGAATATGTATAAAACTATATAACTTACTTCTCTTTATTCATATATCACTGAATTGAGGTTATGTTTCTGACTGGTGTGTTAGAAATTTCAATTATTACATGACAAATCAATTATCACAATACATGAACAGACTTTGCATTGCAGGCGGCCTATATACTGCAAATGACTAAACATTATTATAATAATTTATAAATTAAAATATGTTTCAGTACAATTAGACTCACCTTATTTGCCGGTTTCATATTAAATACTTTTGCAGCTGACTGTTTTAACTAATTTCTACAACTGATTTCGCACTAAATATAAAAGCAATTAATAAATAACGCTTCAATAAAGGAAATATCTTGCATTTCAAACATACACGATAAAATACTCAATTATGCGTCCACGATGCACTGACCGAGTTAACCTATATTTCACTTGACATTTCGATCATAAAACACTTCACGGCTATTTTCAAAGGCTAATCTATGTGACAATGCAACGTACCACGCCACGTACCGACAGAAACGCGTCGACGGTGGTTAAAGGTCGCAACTATACGTAACAGCATCGGTTTTTTTACTTAACATCAGTTTCGAAACGAAAGTTACAAAATGAGTTACGTGGATTTAACTTCTGTGGTTTACTGGGTACGTCTTTTAGATCTTAAAAATTTCCAATCTATTAATTCTTCTGTATAAAAAATATCGGCTCCATATCTTAATGCAAGTAAACGCATAGGAAGTGTTCCTATTCTTACCATAGGTGCTAAATTGTTTTTATTTTTATAAAAATTGGAGGAGAATGCTGTATCTTTATTTCCATTCATTATTATGTCTTGTTTTTATTGTCTTGTCATTTAATTATGATGTTAATTCAAATTAAAACCATTTGAAGTCAATTTTGACATGTTGAACATGTGCAGTTGACAGTTTTCACTTTTGACAGCTGAGAGGTTAACAAGAATTATATTATCAATATTATTTCAATATTGATTTATAAACCATAAACTATAAATTATGTATATATATATATATATATATATATATATTATTTTATTCATATTTTATATTATTACTAAGGCCTTTTAAGCATATTATAATTTCAACAATGTATATTCAGCTCATAGCTATTTCTTACTTATATTGTACAGCCAGTATATTATTATATACTAGCGTTAAAATAAAAAAAATCTTACCTTCATCATCCATTTATCTCTTGTATCTTAAGTAGAATTTGCGGACTGCCTTTTTATCCAAGCTGAAGCATTCAGGCCTGTAGTCATAAGACAATAGTATGACCTGAAAATAATATTTAAGATTAGAGGGTATTGAAGATGTTTATATATATATATATATATATATATATATATATATATATACGAATTATGTATATTGTATATGCAATATTATGTATCAGTTATCAAAGACTTGAATATCCCAACAGATGCATTCGAGACTGTCTTACTTAATTAATTTTGTTGATATTTTGTATACGCTTATTTTGTATGTATATTGTATATTGTATATTGCATGGGTTATATTATATTGCAGATATACTTATATACTAGGTATTATATGTATATTGTATATATCATATTGCATATTGCATGGCCATTGTTATATTTCAGTTATATACTAGCTATTATCCCCAAGACCTGAAAATCCCTACAGGTGCACTCTAGAGTGCCTTACTTAATTTTTTTGGAAATGTTTGTTTCGTATATATGTTGTGTATTACATATTGCATATTGCATGGCCATTGTTATATTTCAGTTATATACTAGCTATTACACCCAAGACCTGAAAATCCCTACAGGTGCACTCTAGAGTGCCTTAATTTTTTTGGAAATGTTTGTTTCGTATGTATGTTGTGTATTACATATTGCATATTGCATGGCCATTGTTATATTTCAGTTATATACTAGCTATTACACCCAAGACTTGAAAATCCCTACAGGTGCACTCTAGAGCACTTAATTTTTTTGGAAATGTTTGTTTCGTATGTATGTTGTATATTGCATATTGCATATTGCATGGCCATTGTTATATTTCAGTTATATACTAGCTATTATCCCCAAGACCTGAAAATCCCTACAGGTGCACTCTAGAGTGCCTTACTTAATTTTTTTGGAAATGTTTGTTTCGTATATATGTTGTGTATTACATATTGCATATTGCATGGCCATTGTTATATTTCAGTTATATACTAGCTATTACACCCAAGACCTGAAAATCCCTACAGGTGCACTCTAGAGTGCCTTAATTTTTTTGGAAATGTTTGTTTCGTATGTATGTTGTGTATTACATATTGCATATTGCATGGCCATTGTTATATTTCAGTTATATACTAGCTATTACACCCAAGACCTGAAAATCCCTACAGGTGCACTCTAGAGTACCTTACTTAATTTTTTTGGAAATGTTTGTTTCGTATGTATGTTGTGTATTACATATTGCATATTGCATGGCCATTGTTATATTTCAGTTATATACTAGCTATTACACCCAAGACCTGAAAATCCCTACAGGTGCACTCTAGAGCACTTAATTTTTTTGGAAATGTTTGTTTGGTATGTATATTGCATATTGCATATTGCATATTGCATGGCCATTGTTATATTTTAGTTATATACTAGGTATTATCCCCAAGACCTGAAAATCCCTACAGGTGCACTCTAGAGTACCTTACTTAATTTTTTTGGAAATGTTTGTTTCGTATGTATGTTGTATATTGCATATTGCATATTGCATATTGCATGGCCATTGTTATATTTCAGTTATATACTAGCTATTATCCCCAAGACCTGAAAATCCCTACAGGTGCACTCTAGAGTGCCTTACTTAATTTTTTTGGAAATGTTTGTTTCGTATATATGTTGTGTATTACATATTGCATATTGCATGGCCATTGTTATATTTCAGTTATATACTAGCTATTACACCCAAAACCTGAAAATCCCTACAGGTGCACTCTATAGCACTTAATTTTTTTGGAAATGTTTGTTTGGTATGTATATTGCATATTGCATATTGCATATTGCATGGCCATTGTTATATTTTAGTTATATACTAGGTATTATCTCCAAAACCTGAAAATCCCTACAGGTGCACTCTAGAGTGCCTTACTTAATTTTTTTGGAAATGTTTGTTTCGTATGTATGTTGTATATTGCATATTGCATATTGCATGGCCATTGTTATATTTCAGTTATATACTAGCTATTATCCCAAAAACCTGAAAATCCCTACAGGTGCACTCTAGAGTACCTTACTTAATTTTTTTGGAAATGTTTGTTTCGTATGTATGTTGTATATTGCATATTGCATATTGCATGGCCATTGTTATATTTCAGTTATATACTAGCTATTATCCCCAAGACCTGAAAATCCCTACAGGTACACTCTAGAGTGCCTTAATTTTTTTGGAAATGTTTGTTTCGTATGTATGTTGTGTATTACATATTGCATATTGCATGGCCATTGTTATATTTCAGTTATATACTAGCTATTACACACAAGACCTGAAAATCCCTACAGGTGCACTCTAGAGCACTTAATTTTTTTGGAAATGTTTGTTTGGTATGTATATTGCATATTGCATATTGCATATTGCATGGCCATTGTTATATTTTAGTTATATACTAGGTATTATCCCCAAAACCTGAAAATCCCTACAGGTGCACTCTAGAGCACTTAATTTTTTTGGAAATGTTTGTTTGGTATGTATATTGCATATTGCATATTGCATATTGCATGGCCATTGTAATATTTTAGTTATATACTAGGTATTATCCCCAAAACCGGAAAATCCCTACAGGTGCACTCTAGAGTGCCTTACTTAATTTCTTAGGAAATGTTTGTTTCGTATGTATATTGTATATTGCATATTGCATTGAAAATTGAAAATTGAAAATAAAAATTGAAAATTGGAAATTGAAAATTGAATATTGAAATTTGAACTTCATTCACTATTTACCATTTGCTATTTATTACCCATGATTGAAAAGGACAGAATTGACAAACTTGCTTTCAACCCTTCGCAGTAGGGATCAGGATTAGGTAAGCAAAACTTAGCGCCAGGGTCCCATATGATCCAGGGAGGGTTCGAGATTAGGTAAGCAAAACTTAGCGCCAGGGTCCCGATCTCACCTTCCCCATTCACACAACTTAGATTGCGGAATAATTATTCAACGCAACAAAGAATGCGGAATGTTAAGGGACAACATTGAAGAATTGAAAACTTGCTTGGCAATACTGTTTATAGAAGGAAATTAAATTTCGAAATTGAATGAGAAGTTAATGAATATTACTTTTGAAATTGAAATCAAATACAAAGATAAAAATAAATACAAATATAAAGTTATTTACCGCATGTAGGAAAGAACACTACTAAGACCTGAAAATCCCTACAGGTGCACTCTAGAGTGCCTTACTTAATTTTTTGGAAATGTTTGTTTCGTATGTATGTTGTATATTGCATATTGCATATTGCATGGCCATTGTTATATTTCAGTTATATACTAGCTATTATCCCAAAAACCTGAAAATCCCTACAGGTGCACTCTAGAGTACCTTACTTAATTTTTTTGGAAATGTTTGTTTCGTATATATGTTGTATATTGCATATTGCATATTGCATGGCCATTGTTATATTTCAGTTATATACTAGCTATTATCCCAAAAACCTGAAAATCCCTACAGGTGCACTCTAGAGTACCTTACTTAATTTTTTTAGAAATGTTTGTTTCGTATGTATGTTGTATATTGCATATTGCATATTGCACGGCTATTGTTATATTTATTTCAGTTAAATACTAAATATTATCCCCAAGACCTGAAAATCCCTACAGGTGCACTCGAGAGTGCCTGGCGTATTTATTTTTGTATACGCCCTTTTTGTAATGCATTTTGTACATTTCATGGCCATTATTGTTATATTTCAATTCTATACTTATATATTGTATATGTATATTGTATATTACATATTGCATATTGCATATTGCATATTGCATGACTATTGTTATATTTCAGTTATATGCTTATTTTGTTTATAGTTATTTTCTATATCGCATGGTCCCTATTATATTTTGGTTATATACTTATATACTAGGTCTTATCCCTAACACTTGCAAATCCGTACATTTCACTCGACTACTTAATTATTTTGGTATATGCTTATTTTTTATATAGTTATTTTCTATATCGCATGGTCACTATTATATTTTGGTTATATACTTATATACTAGGTCTTATCCCTAACACTTGAAAATCCGTACATTT